TTGGCGCTGGTGGTGGTGGTGGTGGTTGGCTGTTACTGTTGCCTGCTGTTGGTATGTTGGTTTGTTTGGTAGGTTGGTCGGTCGGTCGGCCGGTGGGCGGCTTGGTTGGTTGGTTGCTTGCTTGGTTGATTGATTTCTCCTTTCCGTCGTCTTCTTGTTGTCTTGCCTGGCCAGGAAAAGTACAAGAGCCGAAGCTTGGGTGCTACATGCCGGAGGGCCAGCACTGTCCTCTGAGTTCCGCAGCCGAATCATTTAGTCTGACGATTATTCTGAATTGAACAGCCCTGCAGACGATCTCACTCGGGAATGTAACTTGCAATTTTACAATTGGGCAAGCATCAGTGGGCAACAACGCTTGCTACACCAGCAGGATGCCAATTCGACGCTGCAAGCGCTTCCACAGCAGCATGAAGGTAAGGTAGTCAACGAAGTAGGGTTAAGTTTCGCGCATGGGCTTGTGCATGCACTTGTGGCTGCAAGTCCCTAAACCCTAAACCCTAAACAAACAAATGGACGTAAGGCCGTTGCTATGACCTCCAGCAGCAGCTTGGCAGCTGTCTCGTCCGTCTGTTGCGTCTTGGCCTCTCATGTTACTGTAGGGGCCTTAATAACTAGAATAGGGTTTTGGGGCTGCCTTATACTATAACCATAATCAGGAACCCCCCCCCAAATACTATTCGTCATCATTTAGGCCTTTATGTTACGTCGTGCCGGTTTCAGTTTGAGACAGCGGTGAATGAAACTGGACGCTGAAGAACCCCAGTCCCAAACAGTTGAAGCCTGAATCTCTCAACATCTGTCCACGAATGAAAGTTAGTGAATGTGCAACATTGTTCCCTCATCCTCCGGACGTGACTTTCGAGACAGATCCAGCGGAGCTTCGGGATTGGAGATGTCGCAGAGTCTAGGAGGTAAGGCATAACACAACCCTCGGTACGTTTCCCCTTCTCTCATGAATTCGAGAACCTCCTCATGAAAGGGCTTTAAGACAGAAAGCCTGAATCCTGAGTCCGAATGTGTCACCGAGCCTCTTCCACGACGCTGTAAACCTGAGAATCAGACGGCTTGGAAACGGGTTAGGCGAAGGGTCACGTTGCCAAAATTCGGACTGCGTGTGCGGAGGGTGTTGAGCAACGAAAGTGCAAATCGGAAGCCTGTCTTGACTACACGAGTTGAGCACTGCCCTCTTGCTGTGTGCTTCTATAGATCTGCTGACAACTGTGGCCCGTGCCCGGAGCGAGTAGTCGCTCATGTGGTGGGCCATGACGAGTACCAACCCCCTGCCAAAATTGATGGATGTGACAGACAGAGAACAGAAACAGGAAGATGCATCATTAAGCACCTCTTCAACAAACCTCAGCGGAGAGACAAACAACTGCCCCACAGCGGGGAGACAAACAACTGCAACAAGGTGCGTGTACTATCAAGATACTGGCCGGCATCGGGCAGTAGCACCAGCAAACAGTTAAACAGCTGCGGCAATCGTGTACATAGGCCTACAGAAGCGGCGACTGTGCGAGGCCCGGCATAAGGCACAAGGTATCCGTTCAGAATATTGTTGGCGCATGATACTTCAGGTTCATATAGCACAGTTGTAGCAAGCTTTGGACGGTCATGGGCCAACATTGAAAATGATGAGGCGCTGTTAGGCGATAGTTATGGTGATCATGATGATGATTACGATGATTATCATGCGGCGATGACAGTGGTGTTGATGAGCAGAATGATGTGATGCTCACGATTATGACAATGCCGGCGATGCGATGCAGTGATCAGGATGCGATGCACTTTATCTGACGACGACAACCAGCCGTTCAGATTTGGGTTGGAGATTTCTGAACGCAATTTTGGACACCCCTTTTGCTAGCTAGACTCTCGTTCATCACATACCCCCCTGCAGGCGAACTCAGGCGAGAGTGGCAGCAACTGCTTCCAAAACTCCAGGAAGCTGTCAAAGGACAGTGCCTAGGCATGGGAAGTAGCTCCCCCGACAGACAAACAGAGAGAAAGCCGCACATCTCTCAGGAGCTCTCGGAGGGAGATGAGGCAAG